ACGAAATTCAATTATTATCTCAAGCCATCAGTGACGCCACGGCTCACATCTCAACAGTCATGGACGCGCAAACAGTGGTCTCCAACATCGACGCCACAGATCTGCTCTCCACCATCAAAGACGAGTTCATTAAACTCAAAGAAGACCTCATTCACATACAGAACGCTCCGATCTCCTACGCGTCCGCTGCGTCCAAGGCTGTGACGCGCATCAAGACGCCTGTGACTCGACCTGCAATAGTAATTGCCTCCACTGACGCCAACCACAAACATCCGGAAGTGTTGGATGCCTGGCGAAAGAGCGTCAGCTTCAAGGACGACACCTTCGCACCCGCACGCGTCCAAAATGTGTCAAACAATAAACTCCGGATAGAGTTCGATGACGCTAATCAACGTGAGAAAACACTCAACAAACTCAAGACAGTGTCATCACTTAAAGTCGAAGAGGCCCGACGCAGACGCCCAATGATGATACTCAAGGGTATCCACAACACCACCGGACGCGAAGAACTCCCCGAACTGATTCGTGAACAGAACCCAACAGTTAAGGCGTCAATAACAAACGACGCCGACATCAGAGTGTGTTTCCTACGCAACAACAGAAACACAAACTTATTCAACGCTGTTATTGAAGTGACGCCCGCGACTCGCATGGCGTTATTATCAACTCAGCGCGTCAACATCGACCACCAACGCGTCCACATCAGTGACTTCTCACCGTTCGTCCAGTGTTACAAATGTCTTCAGTTCGGACATACAAAGGCTAAGTGTCAATCAAGCGTCGAACCCTGTTCGCACTGCGCGTCTGACGCTCACACTTTTAAGGACTGCCCAAACAAAGAAGACGCATCACAAGTCCGATGCTTTAACTGCCATCAACACAATGTAAAGAACAACACCAGCGTCAGCGACGCCCATAGCGCGACGTCAGCGAAACAGTGCCCCCGCATTAAAGCATTACAAAAGCGAATCACCGAACGCGTCGACTATGGAAACTAAACCACTCCGAGTCATACAAGCCAACGTGAATCGATGCATGGCGTCTCAACACGAACTCCTTAAACATTTTCTCTCAACAAACAGTACAATTGCCTTAATCAGTGAGCCATATGTCGGACGCGGTCCAGGTGTTCATCAAATTCAAGGCGTCGATATCCACCAGCTCTCATCAACAAATAGGGTTAAGGCCTGCGTCATGGTGAAGCAGGGACCCATCAGCGCTTTAGGCATTTCCCAACTGTCGACGCCAAATCTGTCGGTGATCCAAGTAAGCTTTGGTCAGCGAAGGCTATACATAGCGTCAGCTTATGTAGAGCCGGACAACGATGACGCGAACACATTTGACGCTCTGACCAAATTACTACATGAGACACGCGGCTCACAAATCATAATCGGCGGCGACTTCAATGGACGGAACCAACTCTGGGGCTGTGATGACGCGGACTCTCGCGGGGAAGAAATTGCCAACATCGCGTCAGCATTCAATCTGGACGTATGCAACTCTGGCAAAAGTCCAACATTCGAGGCAATCAGAAACGGAATTTATTCCTCATCAATTGTTGATGTGACGCTAGCCTCCGACAGAATCGTTGATTCAATCAAAAACTGGAGAGTTGACGCCGACATCTGCCCATCATCAGACCATAATGCCATAGCGTTCGAGTTAGAAACGCAGTCACACTTCAGCCAACAAACAAAAAGGGCGTCAACATATTTATTTAACAACAAAACCGCTGACTGGAGTCAGTTCGACGCAGCGCTGACCCTCATAATTAACAAATCTGGAATTCTAAACGCAAACATATCAGACGCCGACGCACACAATCTCGACACTATAGTGGCCGGAATGACTGACGCGATAAGAAGTGCCTGTTTTGCGTCAATGAGACTCCGCGGACGCGTAAAACCATATAACCCATGGTGGACAAACGCTCTCGAACGCCTAAAGAGATGCGTCTTACGCCATCATCACAGGCTTAGCGACCGTAAAGCGAGACGACTCGACATCACAGACGATATTAACAATTTGCAATATGCGAAGGCGGCTTACGCTAAAGCCCTTCGCAAAGCGTCGACGCATAACTTTAGAGAGTTCTGCAATAAACAAGGAAAAGAGGACGTGTGGTCGCTCACCAATAGACTCATCAAAGACGCCCCGATGCAACGCCCACCATCGACGCTCAGATGCGGCGCCAACTTCACGACAACTGCTAAAGAAACAGCTGACGCGCTTCTGAATCACTTCTATCCCGATGATGACGCGGATACACACATCAAACACAAGACATTGCGTCAAAAGACAAGTTTGACGCCTGACGCCGGAGACGATCCACCGTTTACCGCAGACGAAGTGATTGAATGTCTCTTAACTATGAATCCAAACAGAGCACCCGGCGTCGATAACTTGACATCGGATATATGCCTACACTTTACTAAGAAATACGCGTCATTTTTCACCCAATTAGTCAACAGATGCCTTCAAACCGGACACTTCCCGACGCCATGGAAAGTGGCACACGTTAAGATTCTCCCAAAACTAAACAAAACAGACTATAAAGATCTCGCGTCATATCGGCCTATCGGACTCCTACCAATCTTCGGAAAGGTTTTAGAGAAACTCTTTACCCGACGCCTAACATACGACCCCCAATACACAAACTCCTGGAGTCAGCGTCAGTTCGGCTTCAGGGAGCAAACATCCACCACAGACGCGCTCCATAACGCCATCGACTTTGTAAAAAAGGCGAAGTCCAGACGACGCCAATGCATCGGCGTCTCACTCGATATCAAGGCCGCCTTCGACAACGCATGGTGGCCGGCGTTACTGGAGCGTCTCCGCACAACCCAATGCCCACAAAATATCTTCAAACTCATCACTAGTTATATTAACGGACGCAGTGTGACGCTCGATTATGGAGACGCCAAATCATCTAAGACTATGACTAAAGGCTGCGTCCAAGGTTCTGTCTGCGGTCCAACGTTCTGGAATCTAATTCTTGACGAACTCCTTGAGACGCCACTCCCTGATGGCTGCCATATTCAGGCATTTGCAGACGACGTCCTGTTACTTGTCAGCGGCAAGAGCGTCAATGATATTCAAGATATCACCAACAGAGCACTAAAGACAATCGTTGAATGGGGAGAGAGCGTCAAACTGGCGTTCAGTCCAACGAAAACCCAAGCTATCGCATTTACACCAGCGTCAAGAGCGGCAAACATTGCTATTAACGGCGTCTTCATTCAATTTGAAAACAACATCAAACTCCTCGGCGTCATCATTGACAAGAACCTGTCGTTCACCGCCCACGTCAAACACGCAATACAGAAGGCGTCACGCGTCTTCAAAAACCTGTGCAAGTTTGTGCGTCCAACCTGGGGCGTCCACCCGGAAAACGTCACAACAATTTACAGACAAGTAATTGAACCAACAATCACTTACGCGGCAGGAGTGTGGGGTGACGCAGCTCAGCGCCCGGGTTCCAAAAGACTTCTGCGATCGTTTCAGCGAACCTTTGCTATCAGAGCCATCCGCGGCTTCCACACCGTCTCGGCAGTCTCAGCGTCAGCATTAGCACAGTTTGTTCCGCTCCATCTTAAAATACGCGAAGTATTGGAAATCGAGAGCGTCAAGCGGACAGGCGTCTGTCCTACACTTCCCGACGACATAACATTAGAACGACGCATTCGACCAGAAGAGCGTCAGCATCCTAGCAAGAGGCGCATTTTCACTCATAATGAAGCGAACACACAATCAGAAGCCGACGCCCTCTCATCACAAACAAATATCTATACAGACGGCAGCAAACTAGAGACAGGCGAAGTCGGAGCGTCAGTCGTCATATACCTGCCAAACAACAGCGTCATCACAAGGAAATACAGATTAAACAGCAGTTGCTCTGTCTTCCAGGCGGAACTCTTAGCGTTGACGCAAGCCCTGGATTGGGCTAACGCCAACCTTAAGACCGACGCAACCATATACTCAGACAGCAGATCATCAATAAATGCCATCGAAAGCCCCTCAAACAGCAATCCACTGGTAGCGTCAATCCACAAAAGCCTCGAAAGCGTCTCAATTCATCACTCAATCAGACTCGTGTGGGTCAAGGCTCACATCGGAATCACTGGCAACGAGGCGGCAGACGCCGCCGCGAAAGACGCTGCAACCAAACACAGCGCATATGCATACAACTCGTTCCCCATAAGCCTCGCGAAGCGTATAATACGAGAACAAGTCTGGTCGGAATGGGCGTCAGAATATAAGAACGCAATCCAGGGCTCTGGGACGCGCTACTGGCTGCCGAACTTGGAAAACGTCAGACGCTTAGTCAACACATCCGACGCGTCATTTGAGATGACGCAGGTACTCACCGGCCATGGCTTCAACAAGAGCTATCTGCACAGATTCAAGATCTGCAACGACGCCAACTGCCCATGCGATGACGCCTCCGAACAAACTATTGAACATCTCCTCAAAGAGTGCCCTAAATACGCATATCAACGACATAACTATACCTCATTATGCTCCCTTCAAAACGTGACGCCATTCAACATGGCGTCACATGACACCGAATCCCTTAAATGTTTTGAGGACTTCACGAAGGAAGTAATAGGAACGCTCAAAGCATTCAATGCATAACAACCCGAAACCAAATAATCAAACACCTTAACCGACGCGCCTGACGCCTGTATCCTTTAGCAAGCGTCATAACCTACTCTTCATTATGTTTATATGTTTTCTGTAATTATATAACGCCTGACGCGACGCCTTAATTATAGCTTACTTATTTACTATTTTATTAATTATTCGTATTATTTGTATTCAATTTATCAGAAATCAAATAAATTTACCATCAGTAGGGGCCAGTCCCCTTACTGTTGGCCCAAGGAAAAAAACCTAACCTAACCTAACCTTACCTAAACAAAAGAACCATACAAACAAAACAGCATTTCAAATATAAGTCATGTTTCTTTATTATTAGTATAATTTTTTTTAAATACATTTTATGAATTTGAATAGAAATTGTGTCTGAACTGTGACTCATCGCGAATGTGATCCCGGGGCTGACACGTGTAGTGCTGACAACAAACACTATTATCCCATTTGCCGACATAACAGTTATGTGGAGGAGTCGGACAACTCTTCTGAATGCATGTCATTTCCGGTGGTGTTCTGCAAACACATTCAACGCATGGGTTATCGGTTGGCATTTGTTGTCCTCTGGAGTACTGGCGGCCATCAAACCAACAACTCTTTGAATCGGATGTTCGCGCAGAAGAGACCACAGTTTTGGCTGAAAAGACAATGAATCACTAACTTATGAATGCCTATTGTTTAACACTTACGACACTTGTATTCAATGGGACAGCAACTGCTTTCATGATAAACTGGTAGACATCCGCTGACAAAATCTTTATCGAGCTGTAAGTCGCATGAATGTGTCCGACAGGACAGGCTGTTGAGAGGGTCGGTGTCACTCCAATCTTCATTACAGTAACATATCTTACAATTGTCTTCTTCGGGATATATTTTCTCTCCCAATCGATAGCGCCTTCCCTTATAAGTACATACTTTTGTTGATTTTTTCGGATGCAATGGGTTTTCGCACACCTGTTGTCCACAACACCTGTCCCTCTCGTAAGCGAAATAACAGTTTGGTTGGGGTTTGAGACCAAAGGCCTCTTCAGGACACTCGACGCCTATTCCGCAATCGATTTGTGCGGAAACCTCTCGTGTGGTTCTCCCGAAGTCACGGCATTCACACATTCGGCACACATTTTTCACTGGAATTCTTGAACCCACGCCATATATTCGCCCCTCATATTCACAGACTGCAAACACAGCAATGTCATTTCACATATTAGTCACTTTTCAATCTCTCTCTCTCTCTCTCTCTCTCTCAATACCGCTTGTATTAACGGGTCGTGATATGCATAGGAAGGCTGTGGGACACTGGCATTCGGTGTCATACAAGGGTTGACATGATTTAACGTAATAGTGCTGTAAATATCTGCTTTGAACACAACTTTGCGAACAATTTTTCATTTGCTTTGAAGGCCGATGAATACTATCTAATGAGATATTATAGGCACGTCTTGAACTCGAGTTTGACCCAAAACTTAATCCAACTCTTTGTGTACTCGAAGACCAATCAATTGGTGATGATATTTGACGTCTAGTTGATGGGTCGTAGCTCTCCCTCCGAGACAGTGACTGCGAGTCCTCCCAATATCTCTGATTATGTGAACCAATTGTGCGGTCTATACTTGGATCTGCTCTGGCATTAGGTGTTTGTCCACCGATTTCTTTGTTGGATTCTATCTCTCTCTGAAGAGGAGATTGTCTTTCAATCTCTCGTTTGGTTTGCCTTTCAATACCAAAATCTTTGAGACTTATTCTCTCAACTTTTGCAACAATTTGTTGATTTAAGTCATCTCTCTTTCGGATCAGTTCTTGCAAATGAATACAATTTTTAATTTGTTTAATATATTTGTTATTTTCAAATTGTAAATTACATCTGTACTTATGTACATGTTTCAAATATTTGGTTAAGTTGGTATTTTAATAATGTAACCACATTTTGTTAAGAATTACACTCATTTAAATAGTCTTTTCAAGCAACTTACAATTTCTTTTTGGTTACATGTTAGTAATAATAAAACCAATTTAAAAACAATACAAACCTTGACTTTGAGCCCAAGATTGAATACAAGAGATGATGACAAATATATATATAATTTGAATCAATATATTTGCAGTCATTTTCTGATAATAGGCTATAATATTAAACCAAATCAATGTTATGAGAAATACTCGTTATTTTAGAGGGATATGTGACAGAAATGAAGTCATCCCCACATTTGGTATAAAAATATGAATGAAAACACTTATTAATGCCATACAATAATCATTTCTCTCAAGACCTTCACAACAAATGATAAATATCTAAATTTATAAATAATACGTGATTCAAATGCAAATGCAATTCAATTGAAATCTTTGAATGACTAATACCTTTACTTACAAACAAGTTTTTAATGATTTCCCATTTCAAGAAATAAAAAACTTATTAACAACTTGTGATCAACAGTTGCCATCACTTTGTATTTATATAATCATTTTAAAGTTAGGTTTATAAATAAATATCATGTTATGTAATTTTCTTGCAAATTAATCATTTCACTTAATGCTTTTTAAAAATATATACCTGTATACAGGTATTATTAATTTCTAATAATATACATGTTTGAAAGATTGCACATTTATAGTAAAAGTGGTAGTTGTATGTTTACATGAATTTAATAGCAATTAGGGATTTGAATGCAAGTGAATTGGGGTGGGATTTGACACAAACAATGGTAGCATTTATTGGATGAATAGAGTGTCGAACCGATCGTATATTTTCTGCCTTCGAATTCACACATAAGAGAACCGCTTCCAAGACCTCTGATCCGCAAACCATTTCGTTTTGCTATAATTATCATATAAACTAATTATTTATTATTTCCCAATGAAGTGCCAACACTTACGGCAATTATAATCAATAGGACAGCAGTTATGCAGACTATAAACTGGGGTACAGCCCAACCTAAACCTATGATCCGCATTCAAATCGCAGTCAATTAAAGTGCAAGAGTTGGTCGCATTTCTCTCATCCCATCCTTCTTTGCATACACACGACATACACCTGTCGGTCAAGACATCAATGTGTTCACCAAATCTATACTCCAGTCCTTTATATTTGCAATTATTATGCAATACTTGAAACTTTGCTGAACAATTTACTTGTGGACAGCATTTGGCAAAACCATTACAATGAGTCCATTGAGTTGGTTGTGTCGGTTGTGTCCACTCGTCGTGACAGTCAATTTGATGATTGCAATCAAAGCTCATATTTGTGCCATCAGTTGATATACACTTACAAACACGACACGAGTCTTCGTTCATAACAGTATCACCCAAACTATACTGCCGTCCCCTCCACTTGCAAACTACACATCAATGACAACAACTGAGTGATCAATACATTGCTAAATCACATCTTAATGTTCACTACATTTTCAAAATATTTCATTTAAGCAAAAATGAAAAGTGTACATAATTATAATTATAATTATATTTCATATTTCATATTATCATTACCTGATGTTTGGGTGGAAGTGAGTTGTGAGGGACACTCATACCTGGACGGACACTCACAGCCCCCTTTCACTACTGGAGTACAACCTCTGGTCAAATAGTGCTGAACAAGATGTCTCTCCACACAAACTGGACATAAATTTCTTAATTCATCGATGGATTCGTTAATTAATTTGAGATCATAACGGATGTTAATACTTGGCAGGGACAGTTCAATTTGTTGCCGCTTGTCAATCACTTTACTATCTAAAACTTTTAAATTTTCATCTATATTAGTAATTAATTATATAAATTATAGTAAAAACTTATACATGTAAGGTTTGATTCATAATAATTTCGAAATTATTAATTGTTCCCAAATACAGACATACAAATTAATATTAGAATATAATTATTAGGTGACTCTTATTAATTCTAAACCCAATCATCTTGAAACAAACTTTACTCTAAATATTCAAATATAATTTTGTCCTTGACATCAATGGTCATAATATAAATAAAGTGAGCATTTAGCTTATATAAATACAAAAAACATATACTTTGAGATTCAATTGAATGCAATGAATGCAAACAAATGATAAATATCCACAACATTTGCAACTCTTCAAGTGGTCCGTCCGACTAATATGAATGTAAACTTGACAATACAATCCTAACTCACAAATTCATGCATTCAATTGAATCTCAAAGTATATGTTTTTTGTATTTATATAAATTCAATACAAAATATTCTGTATTTCTATACTTTAAAAAATAATTCTGTAAATTCTCTTTTCTATTTTTATTCTGTGATATTTTTATAGAAATAATTATATTATAATATTGCAAAATTTAATAAAAATAAGTTTTTCAAAACAAATCTCTTAATTTATTATTCAGTTTACTAATAGATATTTATAGTTAATTAGTGAATGCATCAATTTTTGAAGTTTTCAAAAAGAAGGTTTCATTCAAAAATAGTACTGTATGTTGTCATTTATAAATAGCCTACAGTACAGTATTATAACTATCATTACAGTTAAGGCTGCCACCCGTCCTCCAATTGGAGGATTGTCCTCCAATCAGCCCCTCAAAAAACAGTCCTCTCGATCGATGGTCTCATGAAGACAACGTAATGTCCTCCCAGAGATATTTGCCAAAATAATTCAAATATTAATTTGATTCTTAGTTAAATTTGTAAATATATTTAATATTACTTTTGATGTGAATATAAAATAATTATTTAAACTATGAAATCATTGTTAGGAGGACAATAACAAGTGTTTTAAACATTAAAACAATAGTTTCTTATATTATTATGAGTACAGGAGACAAAATTATAAATAAATATTTTTTGACCTCCCAATATCATCCTGACCTTCCTCAATTTTGGAAATTTGTCCTCCCTGGCTCTAAAAAATAGGTGGCAGCCTTAACTGTAATGATAGTTATAATACTGTACTGTAGGCTATTTATAAATGACAACATACAGTACTATTTTTGAATGAAACCTTCTTTTTGAAAACTTCAAAAATTGATGCATTCACTAATTAACTATAAATATCTATTAGTAAACTGAATAATAAATTAAGAGATTTGTTTTGAAAAACTTATTTTTATTAAATTTTGCAATATTATAATATAATTATTTCTATAAAAATATCACAGAATAAAAATAGAAAAGAGAATTTACAGAATTATTTTTTAAAGTATAGAAATACAGAATATTTTGTATTGAATGCAGAATTGTAACAGAAGTGAGTTTCTCGTCATCTATTGCTCTAATTATTTCATTAATTATTTGGTTTTTATATATAGGAAGACAGCATAACATGTTTCAAATAACATTTTATTCAAACATATTATGGGTTGCTTTATAAAGTTGTTGCACACAATCATCAATGACTGACTTGTACTGTAAAGTCAATCATACAATCATACATATGTAACAGTGTAACATTGTTTGAAACTAAGATTGCATTAACGCATTCATTATATTACTACAGTAGTGAATTGTACTGTAGTACATTGTACGGTAAGACATTTCCATATACTGTATACCATATACTGTATAGATATCTTGATTAATGCGAAACCATATGAATGGTAATTAATGGTGTGATTCAAGTGATGTGCGTTTTGATCAGCAACTTATGCATCGAAATACTGTTCGCACTTTCTATCATATTCTGTATATTGCATAATGATGTCCAGACACCATACAGTTATACACACTTTTGTAGGCATGCTGTCAATGAATCAAACGGTTGACTCAAATTTAGGACTTCCACCGATCAGATTGACTCTTTGGGTCGGAGTTTGGCTTTTATTGAACTCTATTTTGGCGTATTCTACAGATTGCTGTTGAGCTGACTTTGACAGCATCGGTGGCATCGATGGCATCGTTGGATGTACTAATGTTTGCTGTGGTAATGGCTGTCCACAGAATGAGAGCTCTGCGTAATGGACGACACCATCAGTTTGAGGCACGTATTGCACGGTATCATCCGTTTGATAGGCTTTTAAATATAAAACAACAGTTAAATGAATGCAAACAGTGATTGAGTGGTCACACAAACCATATGTAATGAAGTTCTTGTTGTCGAGACCTCCACTCAAATAACCAAACGATGGGATGATATCCGGCGGGCCTTTTGTAGTGTTGGTGTTTGAGTGCAACTGTTGTCCAATCGGTTGCTGTGACTGTTGTTGAGCGGCAGTTGTGGTCGAAGTCAACAGCATTTCATCGCAACAGTCGTCACCACAACAGCCGTCGCAGTCGTCCTCCTCCTCGAAAAGAGTGGCCGCAGTTGTCGTCTGTTGTTGTCGGGTGTCGTGTTGGCACATGACTGGTGGTCCACCACCACCGGCACCACCACTTCTGCGCACCCGAACCACAGCAATCACTCCCAACGCTATCACTATGAGAGTGACCACTCCGGCGCCAATCAATAGCGCCATAACCATAGGCTTTCCTCTTAATATGAGACCACTATTTGATCCATCATTGCTGGCATTGCTGTTGGCATCGACTAGTCTTTCAGCGGGTCTTAATGTCTGAGCCTTTAACCAGATTTGATCGCTTCTGCCCTTAGAGTTGGCCGCAAAGAGTTTGAGTTTGAAATTAGTGGCCGGAGTCAGGTTTGGCACAAACAACTGGAATGAATTCATTGCCGAACTGCTCGACCCACCCGTTCCTCCGGTTCCTCCTGCACCTACACCTACACCTCCTACAGAACTCATACTATTTATACTGTTGTCTAATGCAATGTTTGTTGAATCTAAGAAAAGTGAAAATTTTAATTAAAATACTCTATAAAATAGGGATTTGTGGTATTATTGTCTTTAAGTACCGGAAAGTATTGAATTTGTGGACAACTGAGAGAGGGGTAGTGTAGCCGGTAATGAGACGTTTGCCACCAAATATTGATTGCTATTAGAGTACACTTCGCACACATAATAAGTGGGCGGATATACGACCACTGTTTGCGTGTTGGACTCAACACTACTCCCACTATTCAACCATTGATTCTGCTTATGAGTGGACACATCATTACCCGTCCAATTGGCAGACAATACACTCGTGTGATCGCTGCCAGTGCATAGAATGACCAGGGCATTATCACTTTGGTTCACTACTTGGCACATATATGGAAAATTGGGAGGACCTATAAATATTAAATAAATATTTTTAAATTGAAACATATGTGGGTTTGAGTTTGGTTTAAGTTATGGTGTGACTGCAAGTTAGATTTATAAATAAACATTTTTTAATTATGCCTCATAATTGCTACTGACCAACTTCAATCTGAACTATTTAACCTACCCGTTAACCAAACCTAAACCTAAACCAAACAAAAACCGATCCTCCTGAAATAGTTAGCAGCTCTAAGTAACAATGAATGAGACCTACCGGCGCGTATTATATGATATTTGCATCCTTTCTGTTGTATTCCGATTGAGTTTTTGGCCATACATTCCACTGTTCCGTATTCTTGTAGTGATTGGGGCGCATAAGACAACATTGAACTGAAATACAAATACAATTATATTTTCATTCATTTACACCTATTCAAAACTACTTTGATTATATTATATAATTGAGTACACACAACACTAGTACTTTAACGTTTATAGAATATATTAAAAATTAAAGTAGCATTTATTCAAAACTCATAAATATTACTCTATTAATCAAATAAAAACTACTATTAAAATTGAGTAAATCTCTTAATGTATTAATCTTTTGAAGACTATTTTGCTTTGAGATAAATATTCATTTTATAATTCTTTAAAATTATTTTTTAATTAAAATAATTTAGTCACTCAAAACATATAGTACTAGTGTTGTAAATAACTAATAAGTTTATTAACGTCATACATCACTATTTGTCGATTTTAAAAAAATTGCTATTAGAGTACACTTCGCACACATAATAAGTGGGCGGATATACGACCACTGTTTGCGTGTTGGACTCAACACTACTCCCACTATTCAACCATTGATTCTGCTTATGAGTGGACACATCATTAGCCGTCCAATTGGCAGACAATACACTCGTGTGATCGCTGCCAGTGCATAGAATGACCAGGGCATTATCACTTTGGTTCACTACTTGGCACATATATGGAAAATTGGGAGGACCTATAAATAAGATTATTAAATATTAAATTAATATTTTTAAATTGAAACATATGTGGGTTTGAGTTTGGCTTAAGTTATGGTGTGACTGCAAGTTAGATTTATAAATAAACATTTTTTAATTATGTCTCATAATTCCTCCTGACCAACTTCAATCTGAACTATTTAACCAAACCAAACCAAGTTAACCAAACCTAAACCAAACCAAACAAAAGCCGATCCTCCTGAAATAGTTAGCAGCTCTAAGCAACATAATGAATGAGGCCTACCGGCGCGTATTATATGATATTTGCATCCTTTCTGTTGTATTCCGATAGAGTTTTTGGCCATACATTCCACTGTTCCGTATTCTTGTAGTGATTGGGGCGCATAAGACAACATTGAACTGAAATACAATTACAATTACAATTATATTTTCATTCATTTACACCTATTCAAAACTAATTTGATTATATTATATAATTGAGTACACACACAACACTAGTACTTTAAAGTTTATAGAATATATTAAAAATTAAAGTAGCATTTATTCAAAAACTCATAAATATTACTTTATTAATCAAATAAAAACTACTATTAAAATTGAGTATATCTCTTAATGTATTAATCTTTTGAAAACTATTTTGCTTTGAAATAAATATTCATTTTATAATTTTATAATTCTTTAAAATTATTTTTTAATTAAAATAATTTAGTCACTCAAAACATATAGTACTAGTGTTGTAAATAACTAATAAGTTTATTAACGTCATACATCACTATTTGTCGATTTTAAAAATTCTGTGCATCTATACTATAGAGTATACTTTAAGTATATACTCTGTTTAGTTAGTTATTTAAACATTTAAGCTTATATAAAACTAAATTATAAGTTGATTGACCAATGGTTAGAATGAATTTGACAATAAAATTTTATATAATACCTTTAAACTTTCACTAAAATTGTAGCTAAAGGCTATGTAATGTAATGTAAGATAAAACCTAATCTAAATATTAACTAGTAAGCTATAAATAATGGAATTATTAATAAATTATTTTGTTAATAAACTCATTTTGAGATTTACTGTATCAGTGATCTTTTAATTCATTTAACTTCTTCAAAGTACCATCGTTTTAGTGTGCAATTTAGTGTGAATGTAATTAATGTAATCAGAGTTTAATATTCATTTCGTATTCTTTCATCTCATATAATACTGTATACAAAAACAATTTATAGTTTTCAGTTATAAAACCACTTTCCCTTGTATTGTATTAATAATAAAATGTAATTAATGTAATCAGAGTTTAATATTCATTTCGTATTCTTTCATCTCATATAATACTGTATACAAAAACAATTTATAGTTTTCAGTTATAAATGGTGAAAGGGAACATAACATAATTATTATACGAAAAATTATTAATTTATATGGCCATATGTCTAAGAATTAATTTATTTACACATAAGACATTAAAATCGTATTATGTTAAATAAAGAAACTGTGGTAAGTTTAACATATGAATATTAAATGTTCAGTAACTCAACATTGACGTTTTATAGTTTCATATAAGCTATAATAATTATAGAGTAATAATTATGAACAAGGACAATTATAAGTGCAAACCTGGTTTCATTGATTTGGTTGAAATTAGTGAGTTCTGTATTGCCATCAAATCTCCATTGGAAGGACACCTGCGCCGGGTTTGCCTCCACATTGCACTCCAAGTCCACCGACTCGTGTAAAGACACTCCAAACGCAAGTCTAACATATTTTTGACAATTTTATATTTTAAATACTTTTCAATTAATATATTATTTATATATTTAAAATTAACATTATCTAATCATTATTTAGTATTATTGTGCAGTCATATAGAAACACTAGAGTTGCCATTATATCTTTTCACATTTTAATAATATTGTAAGAGCTTTGTGACAACATTATTATTATAACAAATTCTTGAAGAAAGTTAAAATTGAAAAATAATAAGTCAATTAAACAAAACAAATAGATTTGAATGGCTTTGGATGGACTCATAACAGTATAACAGTAACAGTAAGTAATGGTAACTGACGTGAATTCGGTGCCACAGACGGGTGCATATCGGATCTTCAGGTGAATGGCATTACTCAGAGCTATTCCCTGTTGGTTACTGGCCTCACACTGATAGGTCCCACTTTGACTCCGGGTCACTCTTTGCAACACCAATGACACGTTGCTTTGAATTATGCCTATTCATGAAACAATAAATAATTCATAACCAATCATCCATTCTCTCTTTCTCACTCACAGTCAATCTTACAGTTAATAGACTCAATCACTCTCAATATTTTAATATTTTAAATACTAATTATTATTGATATTTCATTTCCAGAAGACTTTTTAAAAATAAGTTTTTAAAAGTGATACTGTATCAATTTTATAAGTGAGTCGTGCATTACTACGTGAGTGCACCAAATGTTCACTCTATGTGTGTGGATGTGTGGCACATCCCTCATCCCCTTATGTCTACAATTGTCAATCGATTTCTCATACATTGAGTCAGTGCTCAGTCATACACCACACATATCATTGCATACCATACCATACCATACCTTGTTGTGGATGTAAAACGTTTCCATTGAATCGCCACAAAATGGGCGCATTTGGTCGCGGATTGGCGTCGATGTGACAGTCAAAGTATATATCATTTCCTTCCTGTAGGGACTGTAGAGATATTGTCGGAGTTCCCAATTGCAGCGATAGTTGAGGGATATCTTTACAACAAACAAAACTCTATGTGAAACTTCATTCATAATTATATCTTTTAGATACAAAGTGTTGGTCACTTTACTATAAATTACATTAATATTTCTTAATATGAGACAGGCACATACCAAAAGTGGACATGAACTCTACATTCATGAGTAGTATAATATACTGTATAGTTAGTATTGATTTCAATGCTATGCAGTCATATGTAAGCAGAGTTCATGTCTACATTTGGTATGTGCCTATCTCATATTTCAATTATCTAAATTAGAATATTATATATTTAAAATGTATGCTACATTCAAAATTAATTTTTAATGTAAATTTTTATTCACCTGAAAAAGTTCAGAGTCAAGAAATTATGGGTTATTTAAAATATAAAAATATTTTTTTATTTTTAATTATCTAACTTACTGGTAAGTATAGTAAAATTATTACTACCGTATTAGATCAGAACTGCTATCAAACCTTCATAATCTTTAAATAAATAAACATTTTAAGAAATAAATACAATTCTAGTTTTGGTACACCTTATACCAGGGATATAATGATAGCAAAAAGTTTTAACAAGAAAAAGAATAAATCAAAAGTGTTAATAAAAAGTTGAGCCATTCTTTGCACAAACTTATCATACAATAAGTTATTGATTTGTTGTACAAAAGGAAACTCAAGTCATAGTCGATTGCATTCATTCTCTACTGCCTTCGACTCTGTTTTATAATAATATACTCTTTATTAACAATCAATTGCTATCACACAACAAATCTTAAAATTATGATCAATACTACAACTCTATTATCTTTTGCGAAAGAATTGCATTCGTCTTCTCTCCAGCCTTTGTATCGATTGCAGTAACTATTGATAAGAGTCTTAAACATACTTTACTTCTAATAGTGTACTCTTCCTACGGTTAGGCTATATTCATGCATTGTGCAGAGTATGCATACTATTGGTACTGTTTGTCAATATACAGTATCTGTCATTTAATTATAACAACACATTTTATTTAAATATTAATTATAAAATTAGATATAAACTAGTAGACTTTCTATATTTATAATAATAATCGCAAAAAAAACAATAATTCCATTTAATAGTTTATAATAAAAATGATAAGTTAATTTTAATAAGAATTAAGTTATTGTCTAAATATTTATACCATAAATGCAAAGAAAAATGCAAATATAGATATAATGATATTTGAAAATTATAAATAAAAACATGTCAATTGTGTTATTGTATGTCATTATATGTCCACTCAATGGTTACATACATTGGATATCAAGTTTGAGTTCATCAGAAACGGATGAATCGACGATTTTACTATTCTCGGCCATACATGTGAGGAGAGCACCGTTATGTGCGTGCTTTAGGGTCACTGTCAGTGATGTGGATGTCTGTAATTCTCCTGAGTGGCCGGGTATGCAAGATAAGGTCAACTTATAAGAATGTGTTGGCTTTCTTCAACAATAAGGTCAGACAAACCATTGAGAGGAGTGTTATGTCGGGTGCCATCAAATATCCAATAAAGGATAGCTTTGGGTCGGGAGCCAAATGTATTGCACTCAAAGATTGCCTCCCTGTCCGCCACTAGAATCGGTGTCAATTGAGTTATTCTCACTTCTGTTGGCTTTACTGTTTATACAATTCAAATCATTTTCATTAATAAATTATACAATATATACAATCAGTGTATTACAATGTATTACAATGTATCATATGAAGAGTTATTCAAAGAAAGGGAGTAAACATTACTATAAGGATAGCACACAAACTGTACAGTAAACCATAGGGCCAGGACATGGCATAGGCTTAGCGTTAAAATGTGTTTTGTGCAAAATTTTATAGTTTTTACAGTTATAGCTAAACTCTACTCTCTTTCTTTGAATAACTCCTCATATAATATACAGCATACTGTAGATAAGACTGTGTGCAGTACAGTATGTATAGTCTTTATAATCGATCTATTGGGGTACTGTATTTAAATTTAGATTCTAAATATCATAGATATTTTGAAAGCTCTCACAAAAATTAAAAACATGATAACCATAATAGTATATATCATATTGTATTGTTGTATGTGGAGTTGATTAGAAATTTTAAAATATTTTATTTATATTATATTCCTATTGGATTGTACAGTAAGTAAATTGACATAATTACATAATTAAAGATTTGACTATATTTACTATACAATACTGTACTTTACAGTACACACAAACTCACAAACTAATGTTTTAATAACATTAGTGAAAAGCAAATGCAATGTATGATTGAACTCACAATTGAGGTCTAATGTAATGGATGTGGAAGAAGGAACAGTTATGTTGTTATTAATTGCCTGACACGTGAAAATGGACAGTAAGTGATGGCGAGCCAGAGAAGTGATGGTCAACTGGTTTGTGGTCACTATTAATGAATATGTGGTAAACAAGTGTCATGACGATCAACATCTTTAGTTTATACTGTATTTTCTATTCATAATAATAATTATTGACTAACTTTTAGCCATAAAGAGTCACAACAAATGAAATAATGATTGAATTGACAGTAAAGTATGATTGTAACATTGGCACCAGAAATGCACACATATTACAGTACTGTATAATCTAATTCCTGTAAGATACTAACTCTGATACTAATTTGTTGTTATACAGTAATACGTTAATGCATTATAAAGGAAATAATTTTTTAATTTTTCATTAATAATGAACAACTGATATCTGTTTTGAATATTTCTATTATTCTATTAAACAAAGTAATCAATTAAAATATACCGTCTTTTTCATTGTATTCAAACGTATCATCAATTATTGAATAGTCTCTCCACCAGCTCAGGGAGGGTCGAGGTTTACCTGTAATTTGTTAATTGTAATCTCACAACATTTCTATACTTCAATTGATTATGACTATGATTAGCATTTTTACAAATTAATTGCAGGCAATCAATATGATGCGGGTTTACCTCCATTTGTTGTGCAAATCAATTTCAAAGGGTCGCCTTCATTGTAGGGACCAATAAGTCCTTTGAGTTCATTGCCGTCCATATCAACGATTAGTGGCTCTTCCGGTGGAACTGTAATCAGTGGTCATATCAATCAATACTTCAAATATACTGACAATTCATTCATTCGCTTCTTATTTCACAAATACGTTTTCAGTTCATTGTTTATCACATTTCTATCTTTCATCAAATGTCACAAATATTTAAGATGACATTTGATATATTATACAAAACTTTTATTTTTATGACATTCTTTCACGAGATTTTAAAATCATTTGAAAACACATAACATTTCCCTTTCTTAATGGTTTGGTAACTGTGTTATATTTCCCAGTACCCTAATATTACATTTAAATGCATTTTGTCTGTTTCATGTTTATAAATTATAATCGACAATTTAAAATTATTTTAAATATATAATATTGAATATATACTGTACTATAAATTCTATACAGTATTACAATAACAAATAATATACAAAATTATTAATATGTATATACGGTAGAATATAAATATAACAAAACGATTCATCAATAATAACATTGAAAATTAAATTTTAAAAACCTAAATAATTAAACAGTATTAATATAAACAAAATCATCGTAAACATCGATAATATATAAATTATATTAATTGCTTATGGCCTTTTTAGACACATTGTAATGTATACGGTATATGAGCACAAATTCTATAAACGTATGGTTTGATAGAGGGGTAGAGGGGTATTGGGTGATGGATAGTGAAAACTCGTGCCAAAACTCACCGATCACTTTGAGTGATATGACTGTATTGACAGTCCGGGCTCTCTTGAAGTCGACGCGACATCGATAGTCTCCCGCATCCATCACTCGGATGGGGTCGATCTGCAGGAATGCCGGCCGGTTGTGCAGATTAAAGTAGGCCCGACCTAATACACCATACCAAACATATTATCAATTATTCAAAATTTTGTACATAATTTATATTATAGTAAGGAATTATACTCTCAATTTATTTTACCGGTAATTCAAAATATTTAAGATTAAATAAAAATCATTGTCAATTTATTGACTCAATAAATTCACTTTAAATCTATTTACAAATTTTAAAAGTACATGTAATGAATAAAATGATATAATTTATAATAAGATAAAATGATACCCTACCGTCCAATAGAGCTGAGGTGAGAGTACGGGCCTGTTCCAGGTTACCTATAGGGTATAAACATTATTGAGCAGTTTATTTAACAAGGTTTATCACATTTGTTGTTTATCTCATATGTGGTTTAGAAGTCTATAATGATCAGTGATCTATACCTGTAGTATAGAGTAATTATTAACATAGTTTTCAAAATATGTCAACTATCAGGGACAACACTCTGAAAATTATAACATTAGTTAGTATAAAGATTAATTATATAAATTATATCATATACTGTACTTATGAAAGTTATGTACTTGCTAATTGATCTTTATAAACCAAGCTAATTGTTATACAGTAGACTTATAAATATTATATCTCAGTAATATCAATAAATGATACCCATGATTGGTATTTGAAATAAAATTGATTTAATAAATGTTTAATTTGACATGTACCAGTAGAAACAAGTAGAAAGAATAAGCAAGGACGTGCAATTACTGGAATACTGGAATAGAATATTATGAACTTGAACATACCGTACTGTCCTTGCAATACAGTGTACGGTATATTGAATTAAAGGGTTGAATGAATTGCGAGCCATAGAGACGTAATGGAGACATGAATGTTGTTTTGCTCTCAAATCTCACATAAAGTTATGACATATTTATGTTTATTGCTTTTGCGACTCATATTATAGTTAAGCCGTTAATACTCTTTTGCCTGACGTTCCCAACAACTGAATACCAGTAGAGGATAAACAGCTCAAAGTTTATAAGAATTTTCTCTATTTATTGTATTTTATTTAAGACAACCATATATTCAGTATTATATTGTGTATAAAATAACATAATCTTTGAATTACATTCTGTCCAATAATTCCGTTGATAAACATTAATATTAATAAATGTATTCAATGTATGCGAAAGTCAGATAATGCTTTAAAACCATTTATTATTTATAGTATCTAATGTTATCAAAGTTAATTATTCACACTATTACTGCAGTCTCAATTTTTATTTAAGTCAAATATTATATATATTAACTATTAAAAGTAACTATTACTTAATGTTTACTTTAAATGTTTAACCAATGTTATCAACTATGAACTCGTTCAAAAGAGATTAAAATCAGAGTATTTAATTGACAATACCTATATTAATATTGTAGGTCATTAAAATTATGAATTAAAATTTACAATTCTATATAATTGTTACAATTTAAAAATCAGATTTAAAAAAATTAAACTTTTGATTGAAAAAAGCTTGACTACAAACTCAAAAAATCTAATATTTTGTTAGAAGTTTTAAATAAAACGAAAATGAATTGGAGTTGAGATTGAGTTTGAAATAAAGAGACGACAAGAGATTGTGGGCGAAAAAGAGATGAACACAAATAGTGTCGATACCGGAAGGACCAGAGATTGAGGCAATAGCAGGAAAGGCAGCTGTAGGTGATATATAAACCCAAACATCATTATAGACACACTACCAGAGTGACCAGATCCCAAGTATTTGACTTGACTTTCAAGTATTTGGGGTGTTTGTCAAGTGACAATGCAAGGGGTAATACTTGACATTTTAATGTCAAGTATTGTATTTTAAATAAATTATTAATGAAATTATATAAAATCGCGACCAATTAGCAAAATAACATGAAGGTTATTGTAATATTCTTATATTAAATATTAATTTTATAAATAACTAGAAAAACATAGGATGTCAGGATTTGTTGTTAGTTCTATTAATTTTGACAATAATAAAGTATAAAGAAATAGCCTCTATTGTCAAGATTAATACTTGTAATTAATATGACAAGTATTGGTGCTTAAAATAAAATAACAATTAATAATAAATTTTAAATTGGGAAAATGGGACGAATATTTTTCAAATTAGTTTAAATTTTAGATTTAATTTCATAAGTTTAGTTGTTTAGTTTAAAACATTTTTAATAACTTAATTGAGCATAATTTTAATTTATTGTTATATTATAACTATTATAAAAGCATGGTTTAATTGTAATTTTCAAAAAAAATTGTCAAGTATTTGTTAAGTATTTTTTGAAGAATTTATTAGAAAATACAAGTATTTTTAATTTTTGATCTGGTCACACTGCACACGACTAGCAACTAATGATAATCCCATCACTTACTCGCATATAATACAACTCTTTTGAAGGGATGAAAAATATTCATTCATATGCTTTCATTGAAACCATGTCAATGTTGTCACATATTTTCAATATATATATCTTACCTGCTACTACAGCATACAAAACTAGAGGACATTAACATTTCAAAAAATAAAATCCTGAACTACACGTGTTTATTCCTGTATCATATAATTAGTTTAAAATATAACCCTTAATTGTTTACACTAGTAAATTATTGTGCAATACACCAACATTATTTGTTCTTAAAATAAAACATGCAAAATAGTAAAGTGTATTGTGCAATATGTATCCAAACTATTTTCCCCTCTTTTGAATACACTTGACTATTTTATTCTAGGACCTAGATAACAAGGTTAACATAAGCACATTGATGTAAAAATTATAAATATTCTTAATTCGTAAAAAGCATTTAATTTTTGTTGATGTCAGCCGAGATTATTACGGTCGGGATTTTGGTTTTTGAAGATTTAACTCAATTAATTACCTTCACGTTAATTATGATTTCTATAATATTCTATATTTTGAATGTTGTCAATGAATTAAGAATGTCTTACCCCTTCTGGCGTCCAGTGTATAAATTGGTGCCAACTATCATAGAAATCCAAATTTATATTAAGTATTAGTTTAATTTTAGACTCTACATTTTATATACATTATTAATTTTAAAAATATCCATACTTTTTATAAAATAAAATATTTATTATCTATATTATTTATTTAAAAAATGATATACAATTTCTGAATGCATACAACGGTTACATTAACAGTGAAGGTCGATAACTTAGTTTTAAACAATCATTAGTGACATATGACATACCTGTTCATCTTTGTACCACAGAATTAATACCACCTGATCATCCAGAGTTGGTGGTGTTATATCACAGGGAAGGGCTACCTATTCAAACAGTAAACAAAAAATGGTTTCAATTGTTTAATTATTATTATTATTGTTTACAGTCAGATCAAGCAGATCATAACATTAAGTATAGAAATATCTATTTGCATCTTATAGAAATTTTGGTTTAACTTATACGTATTCTTTACAGTAATTCAATCTAAGATATCATTAATTTAATACAATCAAGCTAGTGTTGCATACTATCTATATATCATTTATACAGTATAAAACAATTAAAAGTTGCATATATTGATAGAATAAAATACCTGAACATTGTAAAATAGAAATCAGAGTTGAAATATTTATTTTTTTAAAATCTTAAGGTGTCGAACAATTACTTGATTATATAAACCATTTCTGAACATACCTTTCCACGAACCACTGCCGTGTACAAAATTGACGCTAAAAATAAATAAATATTTATATTAATAAATTTGTATTTCAAAAAATTGAGTTCTTAAAACAATAATTAATTTTAATTTCAATTAATTGATAAAACATTAATAATAATTCATTCATTGTTTTCAATATTATTGAGTTTGTAAATTCCCCATAAAATACTAGTATTCCCTACTTGTCCTTAATTAATCATTTTGTTAAGCATTTTATTTACTCGACGGCGAATAGAAAATGAAAATATAAAAAATATATAGGTTTAGAGTTTAGAGTTTAGAGTTTAGAGTTTAGAGTTTAGATTGTTACAACCAGTGAATGCTGGCGCCTTAAATCATTTGAATTTATTCAGACATAATTGATAATGCAACTATAGATCATCAGCAGATAATGTATTTTATAGTCAAAATATCATTGAAATTTTTTATGTTTTTATAATCACTTGTTAACATTAAAACTTAAGTGAAAAACAGATATTAATTTTTAAGATTTTAAGAAAGCCAAAACCTTATGACTTAATGTATTTTTTCGTGTAGTTATAAGGTTTTGTGTATTAACTCAGTATTGAAATACTACAACTTATGATTTCAAATTAAAATATTATAACATTAAAACATTAAAATAAAATACGTGAACTGTAAATCTCTCATTCACTTTCTAAAGTCACAAAATTTATGAGCCAACATTTTTGGTTCATTTGAAAATTACTGTATAATATACGTGTGATGAAATTTAGCCAGCCAAGCTAGCAAGCCAATTTTAGAACTGTAACTTATAACAGTACATATGGATATTTGTATATTTTTGCGTTTCTAGTTTTTTTTATCAAAAAGAAAAAACTCGATGGATTTTAAACTATAGATACAAAATACTTTGTACAGTATATTTATAAAATAAATGAGTATAAATTTTAAAAATATTTTTAAATTGTTTGAATTTTACCACTATTAAACTGTTTACATAAATCCTATAGAATATACTGTATTATATATTTTTGATACATAATACTGTCTACACCATTTTATACCATTTAATTAAAATGTGTTAGTTGCCAACACTTTTCACAATTTAAATTTCTAAATTATTTTCATTAATTTCTGAATACATCGATTTTATAATAATTAATAAAGTCTTACATATTAACTTGACTATATTAATAACAATAAAGGTAAAATACATAATAGAAATAGTTTTGTTTGAGTTGATTACAGCAATCACAACAAATTGATCCTTTCTAAATAATAGTCAAATAAATATGTGTCAGCCCTTACATGCACCACCATATGTTACCACAATGGGAGTGGGATGTGAGGGATGTGTCATACTTTGCAATCGAAACTCCAGGCTATCTTGTAATCGGTTTTTACTAAACAATGAACTCATATGACATACTGTACTATACTATACTGTACTGAATAGAGTTTGCAGTCATTTGCCAAAATAAGGTTTGTCCAAAAAACATTTGCTTACTATTTATTATCCATACTTTTTGAATTAGTTTTGGTTATTTTAATTTGAAGTTTGGTTTGGTTAGGTAAGGTTAGGTTAGGTTAAATTAGGTTAAATTAGGTTAGTTTAGATTAAATTTGTAGTCAACACAGTATGTAGTCAATAATAGAATTAATACTGTTAATTTGTTTTAAAATACACATTTTATAAATTCCTAGTTAAAAAATTGTTTTTGAAAAACAATAATTTTATTTAATAATTGTTATGTTTTACAGTTTCTGTTATTAATACTTGTATTTGTTTCAGACGTCCGCACAGAATATCAACAGTAGTTGAGTGCACGTCGTCTAAAATTAACAATAAATCAAATTATATTGTATAATAGCTATTAGTTATTATATGTGATTAGTTATTACGTATGATTGTTATAAATTTCGGGCTTAATTTAATATTTTTAATGTTTAACCAAATTACGGAAATTAAAATAATGAGTTTAATTTGCAAATACAGAATAAAATATTTAAAAAAATAAGATAGCTAAAATGGAGTCAAAATGTTTTTAGTATTTTTTGTCATCTTTGTTCTTTATTATGTTTTTCCATAAAAATTACTCAAATTCTAATTAAAAGAGAAAAATATAAGATTTTTTAAAAATTCTTTTATTTTTTCCTTTAGATATTCAAGTATATCGATATAACTTATTAAATATTATGCTCATAAAAAATTTAATAAACTTTAAAAAATTAAAATAAGTTGTGGAGATCTCTGTAAAAATGGATTGTTACAAATTATATGAAAGAATACCACAATTCATAAACATATAGTAAAACAAAACCCTAACTGTCCCTTTAAAATTTTGGTAAAGGAATTAATCAAAAAGACAACAGGGTGTTTAATTGAAGAGTATAGATATAAACAGGCATTTGCATTTATTGTATCATTCGAAATATTTAGTCGTATTTGAAAATGGTAAATTAAATATTGATAATGAACATAGAATTAAAAATTAATAATTGGATAAAACTCGATTGCAAAATCATTGGAAATTATAACTTAAATAAGTATTAATTGATATAATATTGCAGTGCGAATAAGGATTAAATCAATTGTTGGAACATTTGTTGTTTGGTTTGAATTATTAAAAAAGAGCAAAAACTGCAAAATTCTAGACGACTTGAGCTAACGACAGAAGTTGGGAGAGAGAGAGAGAGAGAGAGAGAGAGAGAGAGAACAAAGTATTAAAGAGATAAGAAGTGTTGCGAAGACACGTGTTGTTAATGATCTGCATTTGAAATTTAAATTGTCTGCAAATCTTTGTTAGATTTGTAATCGATTTCCACTCCTGTGTCCCATTATATTGGCCTCACTTTTAGGCTTAGCTCTCAATCAATGAATCTCTACTCCACTCCATTCAATACTATTTGATGGTTGAGAACAGATTGGAAAACAAAAAATCACAAAATGTGATGACTATTGCAAACATAGCATTCATTGATTGCTTTCAAATTGTTGCAAGAAGTGTCGATTGCAAAGTACAAATTAAAATGCATTTTGTTTCTCAATATCATTGCACAACACATCTTATTTGTAACTTTGTTTAAATAGTCATTAATTTAATTAAACTGTAAAGTGTCTCAATATTTACAGCATTTACAATTAGTGAACATTTTAAAAACTTAAAGATCAAATACTCAATACTAATTATGTTTAATTAATAAATTGTAATGAACTGTATGTAGTAATTTTATACCATATATCTAGATTTTGAAGAAATTATGATAATAAATATGATATGAATATGATATGAATATCTGTATATTTCATAGAATAGGAAAAGCAATTCAAAATGAGTGCCATTTTTGGTTCAAATGAAAAGATATTTTGTTGTCTTCTGTGAGGGAGTCTCTCAATAAGAATCGATTGAATCAATGTAAGCATAGGTGAGGGAGAGTGCAGTCCTAGCACTGCACTGCACGCACACAACACACACTCCAACAAAATCTCAACAAACTGTGGTACCGGTGCTCACAAAGTGTTCATATCGTACAGATCCCTCATATCTCACACCTGCCCTCATACGCCGTTCTCCTTTGCATGTGAATTGTCTGTATTTCATAGATATATCTCTGTCTGTCTTTTCTCAATATCACAGTTGCAATGAAAAGTCCATTTTTATTGATTGTCAGATCATTCATTCATTTCAACATTTATTCTCAACTTTATATTACACTAAATTTTATCAAATTACAACCAAATTAAAAATGTCTTGATACATTATATCAATATTTAATTAAAAATTGAATTATTTTGTGGTTACTTGGGCAAATACAAAATTTCATTAGATTCACAAGAAACTAATCAAAACAAATGTTTTAATTCTCTACTGAAACTATGCTTAATATCAATATTTAAAATAGTAATATTTTATAAAACAAACTTAAACTATCATAGTTTAAACCAGTTCATTATAATTTAGATTGTAAACTTAGATTATATACTAAGCAATAACTCACCCCTTAAATGCCTCTTTATAACAATACACATAAATATAAACCCTATAATTAAGACTCAAAATATGAAAACGAATAAAACTAATCCAATTCGTGAGTTATATAATACAATAATACAATACTGTTGGCATATGGATATATCATTGATTAATCATATAACCACATAGTATTATTGTTTTTAAACCGTATTATTAACATATTTATTTAGAATTTATTTTAAAAATAATTTATTTTTAACTGTAAATCCTAATAATAAAAATTATTATTATATATTCTAACTCCAAGTGTGTGTGTGTGTGTGTGTGTGTGTGTGAGTGTGAGAGAGAGGTGAATAGTGTGAATTGAGCCGTCTTTTAGTGATAAGGTATGTCTTATTATGTGTCGTACAGATTGTAGTGAATTTATGGCACTTTCCTTATTTCTTGTGATGTATGGATGGCATGAATGTATGGATTGGAGCAAAGTTTGGAGGCATTTATGCATTTGATTCAATGTTTGGCATGTATTGCAACGCATATAACATAGAGATTGAAATGAGATAACTATTTGCTTGTTATAAGTGATGTGTGCAAATAAATACAATGTAAGTTACTATGAAAGTAAGTTGCATCTCATAGCTCACACTTGACTCTAAATTGTATTCACCATTTGAAATGATAAAAAGTGTTAACATTTAGTTAGTATATTTTATTAAAATTTTATATTGATTTAATTAAAAGATTCAAAGATTGTTTAATTTATTTTTAAATAGTTAAAATATCTTAGATGTTTTAGTCAATTAAAATACGATAATCCATGTACAGTATTTATTAATTTAAATTAAATATTTAATGGGAAAATAAATATTACTAACTATAATTATCTAATCACAATTATTCTATTTTATACATAATATAATTTTCTATGAAGATATTTTAGTACTCACTAAATATTTAAATCTGTATACTCGTTTTATTAACAAATAACTTTTAATTGTATAATTTATATTATAGTTATTTTATAATCATTTTCTATATAGACATATCGTTTACTGTACAATACTGTACAATAATGTATATTACTGTACTCGTTAGTGATTAGACAAATAATTCTTATATGACATGATGGAAAGATGATTGTTAATATTTGTGTTTTTATAAATGTATATAAAAGTAGTGTTTATTCATTCAAATTTATAAAATTTTATTGATACCTATTCTCATCATATAATTTATGTAACTTACAGTACAGTATAGAAAGTTTTATAGGAATAAGTCATAATGCATTTTTATGCTACGATTATCATTCATTTTTATTAACTTTCCATTTTACTTTTAGTTATTTTTATTTACATATTATAACATTACATAACAAACAGTTATACAGTTATGACGAGTTTGTACTGTAAATAAGAAATGATGGGTTCATGGATGCCTCGCAGGCATATACTGTTCAGATAACTGTGTCTCACATTTTTCTAATGCAAATGTCACTCAAATACATTATTACCATAGTTTGGCTTTTCTTAGGGGCAATTCAATTTAGTACAGTATGTATGAAAACTTTACCTAAAGAGAGAGCCCACCCCTACTAAATCCCTCTTTCGTTGGACGTATACATTATGTAAGCGCATACTCGTTCACCTCTTCCCTCATCCCACGAGAACGTAGTTATTGAATGAGCCCTTAATTGTGTCATACATTTGTACTCTTAGTGTAACAAATTATAACCGCATGTATGATACGGTATCATTGATACCACACAAATTGATCCTATTTTCATTATTAGGGCCCATTAGTATTAAGTGCAAACAAACAATTACCAATTTCAACATATTTTAGTGATACTTAAATTACTACAAGTCTATATTATTTTCAAATATAAATAACTATTTAAATATTGAGTTCACTTTTTACTTATTAAACTAAAAATAAGAGTAACAATAAACACTTCTAAACTGTGCCAAACAAGTAAAATTGTACCGGATTATCTTAAACTAGTAACTATAAAAGCTGAATACATTTCAAATGTATATAAAAAATACTTTATAATCATATTTTAAAATCAAATTTGGGGTTAATACTATAAAAATGACAATTAACCACGGACACAGGTTTGTGAACACCCGTTGTGATTTAATCATTTAATGTCAGCTAATTGAATAAAAACAAACATTAATAATTTTAATATTTTAAATAAAAATATTTACAGTATGTCTAGTTTTAAAGAGATAAATCTAGTTATATCTAAAAGGAAACTGGTCACTTTGAGTACATATAGCCATGTGGTATCAAAATTGATTAGCGAATACACTGTACATTATTATAGCATTAGTAATGAGTTTA